TTAAGGTCTATTCCAACTCCAACCATTCTATGATTTTCACAGAGGGGAAGAGCCACCATCCCCAGCCCCACTGTCCCCAGCCCAAGCCTGAACTGGGTTACTGCGGGTGCCCAGTCCCCTGGTCCATCGCCCACCTGCGCTGCCAGGGGAGAGCGGGAAGGGACGTGCTGGGCAAATCAGCCTCAGAGGAGCCACGGGCGGGTAACGGGTGGTCCTGCTTCAGCAGGGGGGTTGGACTAGATGATCTCTATGGTCCCTTCCAACTCTAAAAATTCAGTGAAATTCAGTGAAATTGGGGGTGCCCACCCCCTAGTCCATCGCCCACCTGCACTGCCAGGGGAGAGCAGGAAGGGATGTGCTGGGCAAATCAGTCTCAGAGGAGCCACGGCCGGCACGGGCGGGTAATGAGAAGGACAAAAGTCATCTGAAATCCTGATACCCCTCGTGCTGCGCCGCGACCCGCATGCAAAATTAATGGAGCGCCAGCGCCGCAGCCACCGCTCGTCAGGTAACAGCATCTCCCCAGCATCTCCCTCCCACCGCCTCGCCTTTAAACACAGGGAGTGTGTGCACGCCTGCAGCCTCCCGAGAGCAAAAATCAAGTGAGAAGCTCCAAAAACACGGACCGAGCAAGAAGCAACGGCGCTGCCCCTCTGCCACCCACACCCAGGGCACCGGCTCCTCCCGACCTCGCCACGGCGCAGGGAAAACGGGTCAAATCCTGCAATCTGGGTGTAAAACCAGCGCAAAGCGGCGTGTCCCCCGGCTCCATCCCTGCTCCTCGGGCTGGCACCGGGCACTGCCCTTACCTGTACTTCATGCCGGTGGTGCGGGCGGTGCTGTCGGCCAGGGAGAGCCCGTGCATCCGCAGGAACTCCTCCAGCGTCTTCGCCCGCGCCGCCGCCCGCACGTCCCGCAGCCGCCGCAGCTCCAGCCCGTCCGCCGGCCGGGGGGGGGCCGGGGGTAACCCCCATTCTGGGGTGGGGTGCCGGCTGGCCACGCTGCGCAGGCTCTCGCTGTAGGTCATGGAGAGCATCCCGACACCCCGGCGCGGGCTCCGCCACCCGGCCCCGCTGCCGAGCCCTCAGCGACGCTACGGAGAGAGCTGGGAAAGCGCCTGCTCACGGGGGGGATCCGTGCCCGCACCCCCATACCGGACCCCCCCGTGACACCCACCCGTGCAGGGATCTGCAGCAGGAGGAGGGAAGGACAAGAGCCCTGGCAAAGCAAGTCACTTCAGCGGAGCCAAGCCTTGGCGGCGGAGCCGAGGGGTGAAGGTGGGGAGGAGACGGCAGCGTTGGAGAGCACGGCCACCCCGAGCCTGGTGACCTGCTGCAGCCCCACATGTGCCCCACTGCCACAGACCAGCACCAAGTGGGGTTCCTCAGGGTCCAGTACTGGGACTGGTGCTGTTTAACATCCCTGTTGGTGACACGGACAGTGGGATTAAGGTGATTTTTGCCAATGGCACCAAGCTGCGTGGCGCAGTGATGCACGGGAGGGATGGGATGCCATCCAGAGGGATCTGGACAGGCTTGAGGTGGGCCTGTGTGAACCTCATGAAGTCCAACAAGGCCAAGTGCAAGGTCTGGCATGTGGATGGGGGCAATCCCAAGCATAAATCCATGCTGGGTGGAGAATGGATGGACACTGGCACAGGTTGCCCAGAGAAGCTGTGGCTGCCCCATCCCTGGAGGGGTTCAAGGCCAGGTTGGAGGGGGCTTGGAGCGACCTGGGCTGGTGGGAGGTGTCCCTGCTCAGGGCAGGGGGTGGCACTGGGGGGGTTTAAGGTCCCTCCCTTCCCACCCAAACCATTCTGTGATTCTGTGGTTTGCACCCCGGAACTGGGAGCTGGCTGGGATGGGACGGGATGGGACGGGATGGGATGGGACGGGATGAGTGGTGGCACAAGCGCCGCCGGTGAGAATTGGCACCGTGTGCCAGTGGGTAGGAGAGGTGAGGATGGGAAAGGTGGCCCCGTGGGGCTCCCAGCAGAGGGTCCCTGGGTGCCAGGTGCTCGCTGGTGGCTGCCATGCCTCCCCGGCAGCCCCCCTGCAGGCAAGGCTGCCCAAAATATCCTGCTGCAGGGCGGGCTCCTCACACGCCAAGGGTGCTCGCCACCGCCACGGCTGGGATCTCACCAGTGGGTGACACCAGCATCGATTTCCCTGCCGCCCTCTGCAGTGTCCCTGGCGCTCAGTGGCTGAAAAGAATGGGGGACCGGGGCCAAAACTGCGGCGCTGGTGCCGAAGCGGCTGCCGGGAGCCGGAGCGTGCCGTGCCAGAGCTGCGGCCGAACTCCCACTGGTGGTTTTTTCTTTCCCTGCCAGGCTCGGCTTCACGGGAGCAGGAGCCAAAAGCAAAGTGCACTTTCCCGTTGAGGTGTGACCTCAAGAAAAAAACAGAAGACGACACCCTGGGAGATGCGGAGCAGCACCTGGCAAGGGGTGACCGAAACCCTGGGGGGCTCCTGCGATACCCAACGCTGCTGGAGACCCTTCTCGTGCCCCACGCCAAGGGCTGGGGAATGCAGGGAGACATGGAAGGGGACCCCTCTCCTTGTGGCAAAGCCAAACTGACCCCTGGCCACCAGCCTCCTCTTCCATCTGTGCCCCAAAGCCAGAACCCGGAGCCGGCTCCAGCCCTTCTCTGCAGCTGGTGGGTTCAATTTGGGCAGCGCCGGTGGCTCCTGCCGGGCATGGGGACACAGCTCCCAGCCCTGGGGGGAGCCCCTTGTCCCCAGCAGGACCCTCTCACCCCTGGGGGGGGATCCTTTTGCCTGAGAGTGGCCGGGAAAAGCCTGATCCGGCTGCACCGCTGCTCCACAGCTTCAGCACACGGAGCTGGGGTTTGGTCTGGGATGCTTTGGGGAAGGGGATAGGAACCCACCAACCCCCTCGTTTTGCCACCTCCCTAATTTTGGGCTCAGCAACGTTATCGGGTCGGCAGAGGGGTCATCCATGGGGTGTTTGTTAGAGAAATCCTGATGCTGCCCAAGGGACGAGGCAGGACGGGGGGTGCAGGAGCTGCTGAAGCCCAAGCAGTGCCATGGCCAAGCGGGAGAGGCTGATTTTGGGGAAGGAACGGGGCTGGGGAGGGGACACAAACTCCGTGGGATGACAGGGGACTGTCAACACGCCTCAGGGGGCACAAAAAGTGGGCAACAGCCGGGTGCCTAGGGTGGCTGCTTGGCACAGGCATCCATCCCTCCAGCCCCCCTCGCCAAGCTGGCAACTTGTTGGCAATCAGCAAGCCCGCCTCCAACCGAAAAGACCCCAAACCCAGGAAAAACCTCCCAAAACCAAGAAATCCCGCCTCACCCGGCACAGCGGACCCTCCCTGCAGCCCGGACCCCACTCACCCACGCACCGGGGATGCTGCTCACCCACGGCAGGGCTCTGGGCAGCCCCGGGGGCAGATATAAACGAGGCGGCCGCCGGGTTTGGTTGGTTTTTTTTTTGCATTTAGGGGAGTGTCGGCGCTCGGCGTCCAAAGCAATTGGCGGCTGCGAGGGGGGCCTCCCCCCCCAGAGCCCAGCTTTCTCACCGCGCTCCATTAGCCCTATTAGGGGATTTTCTTCCTCGCAAAGGGGAGTTAAATTATTCATGGCCGCTTCGCTAAAAGCCCGAGGATGTGCCCGCTGGTTTATCAAACCTGGCAGCGCCGCCTCCGCCCCGCAGCCCACCCCTCACCCCGTGGGGACGGGTCCCATGCCACCGGTGTGCGGAGGGGTAGGGACACCCAGGGGTGTCGGGGGACATCAGGGAGCAAAGCCGGTCCCCTGTGGCCACCGTAGCCCTCCCCACTGTCCCCGGGTCGGAGCTGGGCTGTGGCAGGACTCAGAATCACAGAATCTTCTAGGTTGGAAGGGACCTTAAAGATCATCTTGTCCAACCGTCAACCTAACTTTGACAAAAATAGACACCCAC